GTTCCAAATCCGCTACCGCTTCTCAAGCATCTAACATCCCATTCGGGGTCACATCAGAGCGACCTTTTGATTATGAATACATGTACTGTACTAGTAAACACAAACACTTTGGCTATGTAGATTCAAGCCTCGGTAAACAATTCTCAAATTGATTCCACGGCTACATACCGGTATCGTCATTATTGATACTGTCTTACGTTGAATTAAAGTAATTTTGGAATAAATTTCATGCATAGTCTGCAGTCTGGCATCTGAACGTGAATAATGCAAACGAAAGAGCGCAAACTATACAAGATAGCCCACACGTCATACATGTACATAACACAGCTTTTGCAATGCATATTTTGTTTACTACAAAACTCCTCGGGTGTTTTGGTTCGGTGGTGAAAACAAGAAACCCATCTGAACTATAAGCCAAGATTTCGGAGGAACCATTTTCTTTGGCTAATCGAAGATTCACTCTTACATGACCCCAAATAGGATGTTTTTAGATGTTTGAGAAGCAGAAGCGGATTCGGAACATCTGATTTTAATTAGATTGTATCCATCTGTGACATCAGTTTGGAATGTTATTGGTTTTACTATTAAGTAAAGTATTACAAAAACAGAATGTCTGGGTTTTTTTCTCTGATGGCATTGGAAAAAGATATGTATACTTAAATATCATTTCATGCACTTTTTTCGGTACATATTAGATGAAAGCATGCTAACCGCTTTTCAGTACTTTCAGTACTTTGATGTATATTTATGATAATATGTTTAAAATAACAAGATGCAAATGCACAAATGTGAATTTAATGTGAAAACACTTCGTTTCACGTATTCAACACACGAAAGTAAGATTTTTTTTTTCTATTCAATATGAAAAAAAATAAATGTCTTGTCCCAATGCATCACAAAGATGCCGTTAGTCAAAATTAAATAGCGGTAATCTGGCCCTGATTCTGAAAGTCATCACCTTCAACAAAATCTCTTTCCAAAAGGAAGTAATTATCTGCGGTATATCCTTGTGGGACACTTTCATTCGGCATTCCATTGATTTCAACAAAGTCTTTCTGTAGAAGAAAATAATTTTCACCTCTCGCCGTACTCTCGTGCACTCCGAAGTTTTCTTCAGCTCTGTAACTTTGAACCACACCACTGTTGGTGTATTCCCTTGGCGGTACTTCTTCAGTCGGTGGGGGATAGTAAGCTGTAGATTCCTGATGACTGAATTGTACAAAACCCATGGATTCCATGGGTATATCGTTTTCAGCATAATGTGTATTCTGCTGAGGGGTATAAACTTCGGAGGTCGTGCTCTGCCATCGTTTTTTCATAGTGTTCTGTAGACAGAAAAAAAGTATTGTGAATCTTGTGTTTTCTTTGTGATCTACTACTCACGTATTATAAAGTACATATACCAAGCACACAAGCAAGTTTATATTGTTGATTCTTTAGAGATATTTCCTGTTATACATATAAGTTTCTATTTCTTTACGAAATCAATTTGCTTTACCAGTTTTGATACACAAGGATATAGAGCATATAGAATCTCTAATACGAGGTCCATTATTGACAAATTGATGAAATAAGAAAATCAGCAGTCTCGGTTAAAGTCATCATCTGGTAAGTTATATGGTCGATAGAATGACCTTGTCAGCATATACAATTTATCATTGAGTCAAATGCTGACTGACGTTTTTCATACTAATTGTTAGTTAATTATTTATACACTGAATTGACGACGGATTTCCCGTTATTTCCCGATCATGACAAGGAGCACATGGCGGGTGTGACCTGTCGGCAGGGAATGCTCACTCCTCCATGGCACCACCTCTGATGTTTTGGAGATCCGTGTTTCCTCGGCTTCTGTTTTGTATTGTTTTATTGAATTCTAATCTTGAATACTGTTCGTTATCTCAATATGTTTCATTTATTCTCAAAATAAGAATTGACAATTTTCTACCGATCATTCCATGTCCTAATATTTTGAGTATTAAGTCAATAATTACGCACGGCGTCATTAATATACTTTTGCAGCAGACTGTCCATTTCTTCCTGTGTACGTCCATTAGTAATCACTCCATTATTTGAAGTGCTGCTTATTCTAAAAGAAAGGAAACATTATCAAATACATTGAATAAAGTAATAGAGAACCTGAAAAACTGATGTCATATTTTAAATTTCTTTCCTATAAACAAAAATTAACAATATAGAATTTTCACCACTCTATTAGTTATCCAAAAGTATGGGTTCATGAGGAAAGCACATTTATTTTTACCAATATCATATCTACAACACAAGTCTACAACCTTATATTTTTAGTTCTTTCGCTTGTTTTTCTTAATAGATTCACTAGCAATATACTTTATTCGATGAATTTTAGGTGGAAAGTTTTCCGATGACCCTAAAGCCCAACTTGTATTTATTTTTTTCTTCTATTCTTGATGCCTTTTCACGGTTCCTTGTACTGTACCTAATATGTGAGACTGTAGAATTTATCAAATTGTTGTACTTTTCATAACCATTTCTCATGTTGTAGCTGCTCTATTGTAGTAGAATATACTCCATCTTTGACAAATAATATATTATACTTTTGTATCATTCCTTATCTCCATATATCGAATTCCGCATTAAGAAATTATAAATGAAACGCATATGCATTAGAAAAAATACTTATTTCATTTTAAACTCATACCTTAAAAAATCATATGACTTTTTCTAATAACTTACTCTGTATCCTTTTTTCTTTTACACTTGGATACGATCAACATTAAGATTATCCCCAAAAGAAAGCCCCCTGTTCCTATCCCAGTCTTGATGAAAAGCTCTTGATTTTCTAAAAACCAAATAAAAAAAATCTATTTTCTTAAATCAAATTTGATTACCCAAAGCTGGAGCTATTAAAAATTATCTTGTATTATTAAAACAAATCAAATATTTTTGCTTTATTAAATTTTAACAAGCATTTCAAATGTTTTGTCATGTGTTCCTCTTTAAGATTTCAAATATAAATCATGCACTACATTCATACCTGCAAAAAAAATTTCAAATGTGTCCAAGAAACTTGAAGCGGTTGTACTTCCTGTCCATAAAAAAGTATATCCAAGAAAAAATTAGTTCTCTTCGAAAAAGGGCTAAATTCTTTAAGATAATTCTTTTTAAAATCTATAAGCTATCGGATGAAATAGATTTTTGACACTATAGAAGGTTTTTTCACTCAAAACACGAAGATCGAAATATGCATGCAGAGTTAACAAATTTGATTTTTAAATACAATTATAGGTGAAGAATCCTTTTCTAAACTTTGTGTAACTTTTTTTATATGATGATTCTAGATCTATTACAGTTTGTCAGGTCACACCTCGTTAGAACCCATTATCAACGTCTATTGGCATGCAGCTGAGATAAGAAGGTTAAGGTAATAAAAAGTTAATTCTACGTTTAACGTCACCCGCGTGCGTAGGTTTCGGAGAAATTGGCAAATAGAAAAAAATAAACAAATCCACATTTTTAAAGTTATTGTCAGGATTTGCTTTTACTTCTAGCACACAAAAGAACTTATACATTCCATAGAAATAGAAATATTAAAACCCTTTGTGAGTATAATCCATCATCTACAGTGACAGGTTTACTGAACATGGTGAGTAAACAAAAAAGCCTACATGATTACAAATATTGACAGTATTATAATACATGTAGATGATTAAATATTCAATTGTTTGAAGATTTTGTTTGCTTTATTTTTTACTCCCCCTCGTAGGATTTGGGGTTTATAGGTGACGTAAATACATAATTAATTTCGGCTGGCCTAATTAGAGAAGTGGAAATTTGACGTTTAAATTTAATGAAAAATCCAAGTTCACTTTCATAAACTCGCGATAATAAATTTGTGACATACCATCTGCATAATGCATGGATATAATGTTTTTTCCGCAAAACCTGATAACCTTACCGTGTGTTGATTGTATTGTAGTTTCCTTCATTGTAGTTCTGTGAGGACTTTCTGAAAATGCAAAATAAAATAAACCGCTTAATATGTCTCGTTGCTCGTTGGAAACGTTGCTTTATTCGATAATCTTGTGATGTATATTCAAAATCTTGTGATCTATGTTCAAAATCTTGTTATACCCGCACTTTCTAAAGAAAGTTCGGGTATATTGTTGTTACTCATGTCCGTCCGTCCGTCTGTCACACTTTTCTTCCCTGAACTCCTCTTACATTTTACACAGTAGCTTAATCATCTTTTGGGAGATGGTTGGTGGTGTCATGTAGATGTGCAGTAAGGTTTCGGAATTTTGATTTTGCCCAAGGGGGTCAAATGGGGGTCGAAAAATGACGTTTTTTATGCAAAAAGCCCCGTCTTCCCTGAACTCCTTTTACATTTTACTCAGCAGCCTAATCACCTTTTGGGGGATGATTGGTGGTGTCATGTAGATGTGCAGTAAGGTTTCGGAATTTTGATTTTGCCCCGGGGGGTCAAATGGGGGTCGAAAAATGACGTTTTTTATGCAAAAAATCCCGTCTTCCCTGAACTCCTGTTACATTTTACTCAGCAGCGTAATCACCTTTTGGGGGATGGTTGGTGGTGTCATGTAGATGTGCAGTAAGGTTTCGGAATTTTGATTTTGCCCAAGGGGGTCAAATGGGGGTCGAAAAATGATGTTTTTTATGCAAAAAGCCCCGTCTTCCCTGATCTCCTTCTACATTTTACACAGTAGCCTAATCATCTTTTGGGAGATCTTTGGTGGTGTCAGGTAGATGTGCAGTAAGGTTTCGGAATTTTGATTTTGCCCCGGGGGGTCAAATGGGGGTCGAAAAATGACGTTTTTTTATGCAAAAAGCCCCGTCTTCCCTGATCTCCTCTTACATTTTACTCAGCAGCCTAATCACCTTTTGGGAGATGGTTGGTGGTGTCATGTAGATTTGCAGTTAGGTTTTGGAATTCTGATTTTGCCCCTGGGGGTCAAATGGGGGTGAAAAATTATGTTTTTTATGCAAAAAGCCCCGTCTTCCCTGATCTCCTCTTACATTTTACTCAGCAGCCTAATCATCTTTTGGGAGATGGTTAGTCGGGTCATGTAGATGTGCAGTAAGGTTTCGGAATTTTGATTTTGCCCCGGGGGGTCAAATGTGGGTCGAAAAATGACGTTTTTTATGCAAAAAGCCCCGTCTTCCCTGAACTCCTCTTACATTTTACTCAACAGCCTAATCATCTTTTGGGAGATGGTTGGTGGGGTCATGTAGATGTGCAGTAAGGTTTTGATATTTTGATTTTGCCCCGGGGGGTCAAATGGGGGTCGAAAAATGATGTTTTTTTATGCAAAAAGCCCCGTTTTCTCTGAACTCCTCTTACATTTTACTCAGCAGCCTAATCACCTTTTGGAAGATGGTTGGTGGTGTCATGTAGATGTGCAGTAAGGTTTCGGAATTTTGATTTTGCCCCAGGGGGTCAAATAGGGTTCAAAAAATGACGTTTTTATGCAAAAAGCCCCGTCTTCCCTGAAATTCTCCTACATTTTATACAGTAGCCTAATCATCTTTTGGGAGATGGTTGGTGGTGTCATGTAGATGTGCAGTAAGTTTTCGTAATTTTGACTTTTTCCCCGGGGGTCAAATGGGGGTGGAAAAATGACGTTTTTTGTGCAAAAAGTCCTGTCTTTCCTGAAGTCCTCCTTAATGTTACTCAGAAGCCTAATCATCTTTTAGGAGAGTTAAATATTTTGAAAATTATGTAAAACATCAACGTTAAAGAGTAAAAAAACATTGCATGCTGGGAAACACCTTGAATTTTTAAGAGTAATTAATGTACATGTCAAATGTGAGAGTCATATCTCATCTCAATCAAAAGTTATAGGCAAATGCAACATTTTTGAAAAGTAGGTTAGGCTTCAAGGTCAAGGTCACAGAGTAAAAGTCATGATTCATTTGGAAAGATCTTATCACAAGTAATAATATACATGCATTATAATATGAATGCCCTAACTTTTCTCTTTCAAAATGATGAATTTATAACAATTTAATTTTTTTGCAAGTAGGTCAAGCTTCTAGGTCATATGTAAAAAAAAACCATGCCATTCTCACAGGTAAATACTAGTACATAAGTTTAATATGAATGCCTTGTCTCTTCTCATTCAGTAGATATGACCGTGATGACCAAGGTTAATTTTATTCAGACAGAAGGACAGTCTGACATACAAATGTACATATTTCTATATGAATTGCATGGGTAAAATTGGACCAGTGGTTCTAGAGAAGTTAAAAATGTAAAAAGTTTTCAGACAAACAGATGGACGACATGTCACGACAGACGTTATATGATAAGGAAACCAGAAAAGCTCAGATGAGTGTTTTGAAAGGATTACAATATGGTTGCAGTATTTGAAAAGCTGTTTTTTCATGCAGAGATATGCATGACCAACATATTCATGTTTTATATTTTCTTTAGTAATTTGTTTGTTTGTTGTGAATACATCTCTCTCGGGAATTTTTCCCTCATATGGAGACACCACCAAATAATAATGAAGACAAGATGTGTTTGTGAAACACTGATGTCCCTGTATGGAAGCCTATGGCGAAGGTTGAAGTTTCTCAAATATATGTCAAACTCAAAGGTCAAGGTCAAAGGGTTCAAATTGTTGGTATCAGAAAAAAGTCTTGTCACAAGGAATGCACATGTGAAATAAGTAATCCCTAGTACTTCCTGTTCAAAAGTTAATTGCCAAGGTTATATAATTTTTTAAGTGGTTCAAACTCTACGGTCAAGGTCAAACATATTTATACCTGTTGACAGTTCACAATGAATACACATGTTAAGCATGAAAGCCCTAGCACCTACTGATCAAAATTTAGGCCAAGTTTAAAGTTGGGTATTTTTCTTGTAAAAATGTGTATTCTAGGTCAAGTGATCAGAGGTAAAAATTAATGTTACCCAAATAAAAGGTCTTAATTGTCACAAGAAATAAACCTATAAAATGTGGAAGCCATTTGTATAGCCCATCCCACTTAAAACTTATGGGCAAGGTTATAATTTCTGCAGACAAATAGACAGACATAATATAAACACAAGAAACAAAATATGTAGTATGTACATAATTAGTCAAATGGAAAAAAATATACTATTTAATTGGAATCACAAAATAGATTGTTATTTCAGGGATAGGGAGTGGGTAGGGAGATTGGACCCCCCCCCCCCCTGGAATTTCCTTTGTTATTTAAACAAGACTATATACTGAAGCAAATAAAAAATGACTTTGGACATCCTCCCCCTAACTTAGAAAACATTGACCCCACTATCATTGTTTTTATTTTGTTTATTTGTTTTCAGTTTATGAGTTTTTTTTCTCCTGCTTGTCAGGAAATTCTAGGCATGAATTTTTTGACTGAGATGTGAACCCCCCTCCCTACTCCCGAAAAAAAATTCTGGATCCGCACCAGCATTGGCAGTAACTGAATGTCACATCGACAAGGGGAGATTACTTCACAATATGAAATTCGTCTAGTGTGGCATGCGATGATCTTTGACCCTTTTTGAACTTTAACCTAATCGTTTGGGTTTATTTTACCCCCCACTATACTTAAACTTGTACTTACCGACCTCCATAGGTCTTGTAAACTTCATGAAATATAAATCCAATTTATATAACACAAAATGAATTAATCCAATGCACACCATTCTGCAGCATGTTATAATGCTATTCCATTCGGAAAACCTTCGTGCCGTCGATTCCGTCACCTTATCAGATGAAGTGGGAATCGGCCGAGGTGTACCGAATGGAGTTTAATCTAAAAATATGATAATGGGTGACGCAACGTGATGTGATGTAGAATTTACATGTCAAGAACAAATTTTAAATTAATTCATAACAAACAATGTTTTAACAAAACTGTTCCATCTAGCCTATTCCAAAAAGTATGTACTGTGTGATTGTGGTGTCGAGGGGGGGGGGGGGGATTAGTAAATTTAAAAAGGTCCTATTATGAGCAAAACATTTATAAAAATCTAATTTACATCATTAATAGAATTCAAACTGGTATATAATGAATTAAGCATGTAAAATGAATATAAGAGGTTCTGAGTTATAGGTCACAGGGATAAATTCATACTCAATTTGATGAATACATGTAAATTACAGGCATGTAGCAACCGGGGGGGGGGGGGGAGGGGGGGCTGCCTCCCCCTTTTTTCCCCAATATTACCTTTACTACAGAAAATGTTCATTGAAAGGATGGTCCCCCCCCCCACTTTTTACCACAGTATATACATAGCAAGGAAATATGGGAAACAAATTGGAAGTGAAAGTAATTTTGCCTTGAAAAAAAGGGGGCCCCCCCCCCCCCCCCCCCCATTTCATTTTTTTTCCTTGTTAATTTTTTTAGGTAAGTAAAAAAAAATTCTCTCAGGTTGCCCCCCCCCCCCCCACTTTCAAAAACGATGCTACGTGCCTGAATTATATAGAATTATTTTGACTTTTTCCTTGGTAAGCCGCCAGTAGGATTGTGTACATGTATTTAAAGGCAAACACCTTAGTGCGGGTATTACTGTCTCATGACAGCATCTAGTAATATATTATGCAAAATCTCGTGATGTATATTCAAAATCTTGTGATGTATATTCAAAATCATGCGATGTATATTCAAAATCTTGATGTAAATGCAATATCTTGTAATGTCTGTTCAAAATCTTGTGCTGTATGTTTTATACTCTTGTGATGTATGTTCTATAAACTTCTGATGTATATGTAATATCTTTTGATGTGTACTCAAAATCTTGTGATGTATCTTCTAAAATCTTGTGATGTATGTGCAATATCTTGTGATGCATGTTCACAATCGTGTGATGTATCTTCTATAATCTTGTAATGTATGTGCAATATCTTGTGATGTATATTCAAAATCTTGTGATGCATATTCTATAATCCTGTGATGTATGTTTAATATCTTGTGATGTATGTTAAATATCTAATAGGTCTTATTATTATTATAGAGCATGGCCAATATCCATATTATCTGGATACTCTAAAGGCATTTTCTTAAGTATTTGGGCTTTTGAAAAATTCTTTGTTAATTTTGCCTAGTATTATATTTCAGTCATGATTAATTTTACTGACATGTCAAGATGATTATCTTTAGTTTCCCTAGCTGTTTGATTTTCAGTTTTAAGTGTTTTATTTGTAAATGTTCGAGTGTACATCTGTAAATCACCAGAAAGGAACACTCATATTATCTTCAAGATTAATCCTGAAAGAAATTCATACACATTTCAATTTTTTTTTTTTTTTTTTTGGCATTACATAGATTGAATTTAGGGTCATTGTTGATACTATGTGACCAACGTGTTCAATGATGTATGACATTGAAAGGTATACCAAAATAACATGTATTGATTTTCTGCCCAAAGGCGACTGGAACCCCGGGTGTTGATACCATTTTATACACATTAATCGGCCAGGTAAACACAAGCAAAAAATAAATAAATATATAAATCACAATTTCCGGTATTTTCAACTGTTTATTTGTATAATAAATATACTCTTTAAATAACTTGTTTATAAATTAAAAACTAATTCATTACTACATTCCCAAATAATTGTTTACATTATTCATGTTACGGAAGAATGGGAGCATTTCATTTCAAGGTCATTTTATTAATTGTTAGGTTTTATTTGCGGGTTGCATGGAATACTCCTTTTTTAGCGTGGTACTTGTAAAACATGTAGCTTTTCAATTAAAAACTCATATCTAACTTAAATGTAATGATTTTTTTAAATAGTGCCAATGCAAATTTTGAGTAAATAATTTTACATTAAAAAATAAATTAGGCCTACATGTAGATATTTTTTCTCATCAAGCTGTAGTTTATTTTTCGGGAAAAAAACCTACTCCTAACATCCTTATCTAACAATTTATTTTAAACTACGTTTGTGTAAATATACAGTTCCTGAAAATATTAATTAACTATAATAATCTTCACTTATTATAAGATTGTATGAAATCCTTGCATTTTTATAATAGTTTAAACTACTCTCTGCTGCAAGTAAACAAAACAACAGGGAGCCTGCAAATTCAAAATACACAAGAAGGCAGAACTATCATATTTGTGACAGATTAGGTTTATTTACGTTTTCATAATTATTACATTTCGATCCCGATGTAAATTGTCCACGTTTTATTTGGAAACGCCCACTTTTATCTTTCGACCAATAAGGTTTTTGACAGTTTCTTTTGTTCCTTTTTCATATATAAAGCTATGCAACTATTAGATCGGGGAGGGAGACAGCTGGTTTCGCTAGCTAAACTCTTCATATACTGGAATCGTCCCTTGTTCGTCTGTCTTAATTAAATTATATTACTACTTAGGTTAGACTATATTTGGGTTAAGTTAGGCCATATTTGGGTTTGGGAATTAAGGTCTTCATATTGTGTACTATTATAACGTACTGTAAGATTGGTAATAAATTGTAAAGTCTTGTTAATCTTATTTTCTTTTATAGTTCATTACAATTTACAAATATTTCCAAGGTATAATCTAATGTAGAGGTCTTATATTCAGAAAGTCGTCTCAAAACAAAAAATAAACACAACGCGAAGTACAGGCTATATGAACACCAGACCTGCTACATTTTATTCAAAATCTTTTTCAAACATGAGTGAACAAAGCAGTCCCAGAAAACAGTCCCAGGGACAGCTGGGGCTGCTGGGTCTACTTTCTAGAGCAATCACAGAGCAATCCCACAGCAGTTCCAGAGCAGTCACACAGCGGTCCCAAAGCAGTCGTTGGGACTGCATTGGTGTCAGGTTGAGTCTGGTTGGTACTGTATGTTTTATAATTTTGTGATGTGTGTGCAATATTTTGTGATGTATATGCAAAATCTTGTTATGTACATGCAAAATCTTGTTATGTATGTTCTCTAATCTTGTGATGTATATTCGATAATTGTGTGATGTATATTCAATAAACTTGTGATGTATGTGCAAAAATGGCATTGTGGTTAATATGACGCAATAATGTTCTAGTAGACTAAGGACAATTTTCATTGGTTGGAAATAATGGTGATGCATATGTAGATCAATTGGAATTTGATACAAAGAAAAGAGACATTAGATATGGATTATGTATGCAGATATATTAAGGAAGATGTAAATTAATATATCGAGTGAAGTCCTCAAAGCACCGGCTATTCTTTCACAGCGTTCTGGTCTAGTCTACTTTCACTTTTTAAACCCTTGAAAAAAGCCCTTACTAAGGTTATCGAAATAAATTAAATATTACCCACAATGCAAAGATTGCATATTAATTACTGGATTTATAGAGCATACATTACAAGATTATAAAACATACATAACAAGATTAACGAATATACATCACAATATTATATAACATACCCCACAAGATTTTGCATATACATCACAAGGTTTTGAATATACATAACAAGATATTGCACATACATCACAAATTAATAGAACATACATCACAAGATTATCGAATATACATCACAAGATTTTGAATATACATCTAAAGATATTGCACATATATGTACATCACAAGTTAATAGAACATACATAACAAGATTATCGAATATTCATTACAAGATTTTGAATATGCATCACACGATATTGCACATACATCACAAGTTAATAGAATATACATCACAAGTTAATAGAATACACATCACAAGATTATAGAACATACAACACAAGATTTCGAATATGTATAACAAGATTTTTGTACATCATTAGATTTTGCATAAATTATACATCACAAGATTTTGCATATACATCACAAGATTTTGAATATACATCACAAGATTTTGAATATACACCACAATTTTTTAGAACATTTATTACAAGATCTTGAACGTACTTAACAAGATTTTGAATATACATCACAAGGTTTTGAATATACATCACAAGTTTTGAATATACATCACAAGTTTTGAGTATACATCACAAGATTGTCGAATAAAGCAACGTTTTACATAGGTTACATGTAAGACTTATGTAGAGGTTACTTAATAATGTTGAAATATTCCTTGATTCAAGGCAGTTATAAAACTTCGTACCTGTAAATGTACTTGTACTACTGCTACTCATTTTGTTTCTTCAAAAGATAACCTCAGTTAGAAGGATTGGATGACCGGGACCTTGGATTGAAAAAAAAAAACAAACGTTATAAAATTATCATTCCATTTAAAAAGAAATAAGAGGAAAGTAATTAAAAAGTACTTCGAAATTGCCAATCTCTTGTTCACATTCCACGCCGTAAATAATGAACAACTTTTTCCTATGTTATTTACAAAATCTGATCTTTATAATGAAGCTGGAGAATTGAAAATACAAAACATTTAACCGATACATCAATTGTTTTTCTTATATACTTGCTAAATATTTTATGGAAAATCAATTTCCGCCGTAGAATGGTTAGACCAGCATTTTATGAAACTAAAATAAAGTACATGTAATGACGTGTCACATATCTGATCGGAATCTCCAATGGAAGTTCTGCATCTTGAAGTTAAATCTATGACCGGTAAATCTTAATTTGATGTTGCAGCAAATTAATCTTCAAATGAATCGAATCCCTTTGAAAATGAGTTCAGAAATATGGCCTTTTTATTTATTACAAGATAATTTATTACAAAATTAGATTTTTGATCTGATTCATTCACAAAATTAAAAAGTGTAGGATTTATTTGACTTTCACGGTACATTGTATTATCAATGTATATACACCGTATAATGGTCATTCATCTTTATTAAACCCATTTGTCATTAAAAAATATTTCATCGAAAAAGAACTAAGTAACTTCATTCGTTTTGTTGAAAAATAAAGAGAAACTAGCTCTGTCATTAAATGCGTAAAAATTATATTCACTGCATAAATACGATATGTTGATCTCACTATATTGTGTTTTTTTTTTTATTTTTTATTGCTTAACTTCCCTCTCGCGAATTTTTCCCTCAAAGGGATATACCGGTTTCCACATCCTCAGTGTGAAACGAAATCGAGATGTAAGGATCAAATATACAGCCGACCCTGTAACCAGTTCGCCACATGGGTTATTTATCGTTATTTTTATCATTAATATTTTATCCTAATATACATGATGAATTAGATACGGAACCCCGTTGGTGCCATGTATGAAAAATATTTTATCTGGCGGCCGCCATTTATTAATTGGCGGCCGCCACATATATATCTGGCGGCCCTTACTTATTATTTGGCGGCCGCCACATATATATCTGGCGGCCGCCACTTATGTATCTGGCGGCCGCCATTTATTATTTGGCGGCCGCCACTTAATTTATATGCAAAAGGTGAGTGTTATTGGGTTAAGAAGATGGATGTTGACAAAACCGCTGCTTATTGATAAAAATGTAAATGATAAAAAACGAATTCTGAAATATTGGAACACCATTCTTGGAAATCCAAAATGCAAAACTTCATTTAATTCTCAACCAATCATAGCGTACAGCAAACACCATGATTTATGTCCGTGACCCTTGATGAGGCTTCTTAATAATCGAAACACTCTACAAATACTTGCATAATTCAAATCAAATATTAATCTGCTCTATGCAAAAACATATCTATTAGAAGTGTAGATTGGAGTGTTGGTTCATAATAAATCTCTTACAAGTTTGGTTGATTGATGTTGCTATTATAATTTTTACACTGTATCCACCTCTTAAACCACACATTAAAACATGCGAGCGATTCAGGAAGCCAGGTGTTATCTGGCGGCCGCCATATAAATTATGTGGCGGCCGCCAAATATTATGTAGCGGCCGCCAGTTAAATAAGTGGCGGCCGCCAGATAAATCATGTGGCGGCGCCAAATAATAAGTGGCGGCCGCCAGATGTTATATAGCGGCCGCCAGATAAATTATTTGGCGGCCGCCAGATATTATATAGCGGCCGCAAGAAAAATATGTGGCGGCCGCCAGATATTATATAGCGGCCGCCAGAAAAACTATGTGGCGGCCGCCATATATTAAGTGGCGGCCGCCAGATATATAAGTGGCGGCCGCCAAATAATAAGTGGCGACCGCCACATAATTATGTGGCGGCCGCCAGATATACAAGTGGCGGCCGCCAAATAATAAGTGGCGGCCGCCAGATAAAATATTTTTCGTACGTGGCACCAATGGGCTTCCGTAATTAGACGAGTGTTCTTAAGATACGACATACATCAGAGAGGACACATTTTGTTTTAACATATTAAACGTTATCAAATTTCCTTTCTATTTTCTGAAACCTGAGTAAACGTCATCCTTAACATTAACAAGGGATGTATGATGAAATGATCTACTGTGAGAGAACAAAATATACCAGAGAGGACAAGACTTTTTTCCTGGTGAACCTGCAGGCATGCTTATGAAAATTTCCTAAGATGTGTCTTAAGACATGTCTTCGGATATTTCTTAGGATATATCTTAGGCACATCTTAAGATACGACTTGGGGTGTAAAACGAAAGCATCTTAGGAATATCCTAAGTTAAGATGTCGTAAATTCCACCTTAGGCATTTTCTTCTTTTTTCTTTTTTGTAAATGAAGCACTACAAGAAGTCCCTCAAGTTACCAACATATGTAGATGTAGAGGGGGGGGGGGTCCCTTTAGTTCTTTAAAGAATTTACTTAAAACAATCGACTGAATAGCATCTAAAGCCATATGCGAATACATGTTTTGTATGATTCGAAATGTAACCCCTCAAAAAAAACCCCCAAACTTTCAGGTTTGGAGACGATTAATGTTTTTATTTTCCTTACTTATTAAAAACATTTCTGAGTCAGTATTTCTTTAGTGGGTATGTCCCTATTCCTTTTTTAAAAAAAACATGCTTGGATTCAAGACTAATTTTTATAAGTATGATTTTTAAAATTCATTTTAATTTATTATTTTCAACGATTTCTATTACATACGTATATATCTTTATCAGTTTAGTCCATTTTATCCAAGTTTTATGTAAAAAAAAATGTTATATAACATAGCTACTTGTGTACAATCTAGTTTACTTTTCGCAGAATCAGAATAGCGGAGCTACATATACAAGTACATTTTTTTTATAGTTATTTGTATTATTGGATGAGTAATTTAATAAAAATATAAAGCATAACATGTTTTCTGCTCGTTCTTGGCCCAGTTAATCAAGTTCTCTCTCTCTCTCTCTCTCTCTCTCTCTCTCTCTCTCTCTCTCTCTCTCTCTCTCTCTCTCTCTCTCTCTCTCTGGAAAAGGAAGAGGAAGTCACGTTAACATGAATAAACTTTCTTTAATTTTAATAAAACATGTGTTATTTCTCTGCTATCATTATTACTTACACCTGCTAATACCAAGAAATGCAACAGATTGATGCAATACACAGGCATTAAATTCTGAACATGTATGTACTTAGCTCCTTTAAAGGTATCCCCCTACCCCTCCGTTTAGCCCCAATAAAAAAAAAGATTGTATATTTTTATCTGTTTTGAAAGGGCTTGAATAAATCACACGGTACAATGCTCATAAATTATTTTAGTTCATTAAAGAAATCATTAATTTACAACAAATATTTTATTTATTTACGCAAACAAACATTCTTAGATGTTTTCCTGACACCAACGCTTCTTAAAATCACCAAAGAAATGACTTAAGTACGATGGCCGATATGAGCCGTCAAATTACAAGTAAGAGTAGTTCTATTATGTACGCAGAAGTATTACATTTTTACCCGTGAAATACTATAATTTATCCATTGAATAAAAATGATATCCTGTCACACTGTGAAAGGATATCAAAAAGATATCCTGTCACAGTGTGACGAATATCAGAAGTGCGGGAAAACTCGAAATTTCCCTTCCCATAACGAAGATTGCTGTAAAAAAAATCTTCCTTGACCTAATTTAAGATAGAAGGAAATAAATAAACCATTCTGACAGCAAATAAAACTGTCAAAATTACCAAAAATACGTTGCTAAATCCATGTTTACAGAGTTTTCACCTCACTTAGCTATGACGTCTCAACCGCTCAACTATGACGTCACGAGCCTATGACTGTATTACAAACAGTGAGAGGAATCTAAATAGAAGCAAAATATTCTATGATAAAAAAAATTAATTTTTGAGATCATTGACAAAAAACCCCAATATTGCTGCATTTTTTGATCAATTTATTTAACAACTAAGATGGGGGAAATTAACAGGAGAAAATAGAAGAAAAATCAGATAACACATGTTTTTGATTTTGTCCCTTCTAAGTTTACAGATAATCTTGACAATAAATCTATAAAGGAATGTTAAGTAGTCTAAAGTGTATTTTGTCTCAAGATTTGTACATGTACAAATTACTATAACAACTACATGCGTTTTGCCATTAACAAAGTGTACATGTACAAAATGATACAGGTAATACTACTAAAGTCAAATAATTCTGCGTACATAATATATCTACTCTTACTTGTAATTTGACGGCTCATATCGGCCATCGTACTTAAGACATGTCTGCAGTCGTCTTAATGTTAGGACTAATGCCCTGTTCACACGGAGAGTTTAATTCGAATTAAACGTAAGTTTACTGCGAATTAGCTTCGCTTAGCGTTCACACGGAGAATTTAATGCGAATTAGTTTACTTCGCATTAGTTTACTGCGCATTAAATTACTTCGCATTAGCTCCGTGTGAACGCTAAGCGAAGCTAATTCGAATTAAATTTTGGGGCATGCGTAATGGCAAAATTAAGTCAAATGCATCATGTCGGTGGTCAGCTTTAAGTACTTGTGCTATTTTTGAGTGAAAAACTAAGAAAAAATGTGTTAATCACTAAAATATGTCTCCAGACACTGTGACATATTGTCAAATGCATTTCTTTCTGCATAAGGTGACGTGATTTGCAAATGACGTCATAATAGCCTTCCTCACGCCTGACTGTCGAAGTAAAATTTTAATTCGCATTAGTTTACTTCGCATTAGCTGTCGTGTGAACGCAATTTAATTCGCATTAGTTTGATTCGCATTAGTTTACTTCGCATTAATTTACTGCGAATTAAACTTGTCGTGTGAACAGGGCATTAGATTAGGAGGTCTCCTAAGATAGGATAGCTTCGATGGCCTCGCTTAAGACTAAGATATGTCGTAAGACCGTCTTAAGATATGTCTTAG